TGGGTTCGAGCCCCACGTCGGGCTCTGTGCTGACAGCCAGCTCAGAGCTTGGAGCCTGTTTCAGATTCTGTGTCTCCCTTTCTCTCTCTGACCCTCCCCTGCTCACGCTGTCTCTCTCTCTCTCTTTCTCAAAAATAAATAAAACATTAAAAAAAAAAAGAAAAAGTCTTAAAGTCTTCTGAAGAATGAGGAATATCTACTAATGGCACTCTGCTGCTTTTTAGGATGATGGCCATCACAGTAATCACTGTTCTTTGAAAATCATTCATTTGTCGCATTCTGGAGTGTCTCTTTTGGCTCGTAGTATTTTTCCGTGTTTTTTTTTATTTTTTATGTTTATTTTTTATGTCTTATTTTTTTATTTTTATGTTTAAAACTATGTATTATTCTCCCACTGGTATTTACACATTTATTTTACTTAGTTTAAAATGTTTCAATTGTGAAATACACGTAACATAAAACTCATCCTTTTAGCCATTTCAAAGTATACAATTTAGTGGTGTTTACACCTTCACAATTTTGTGCAACCATCTTTGGCATCCAGTTCCAGAATATTGCTCCAGAAGAAAACTCCATAACCATTAAGCTTCACTACTCATTTTCTCCTCTCCCCAGTCTTTGGAAACCACTAATCTACTTTCTGTCCCTATGAATTTGCCTATACTAAATATTTCATGTAAATAGAATTGTAAAATATATGGATTTTGTTTTTAGTGTCTGGATTTTTAAAAATTAACATAGTGTTTTTAAGGCTCATGCATGTTGTAGCATATACCAGTCCATAGGTAGGTTCACATTAGGGTTCACTTTCTGTGTTGTATATTCCATGGGGTTTGACAAATGATTCACCATTTTGGGTACATTAATATACCCTTATATACACTTTATACTTTGAAGACAAATTTATTAGTAGATATGCTAGTTTTGCCTTAAAATATTTTTAAGATTACTCCATTCTGATTTAATGTAATTAAAACATTTTATTTAATAAAGTCTAAAAGTTAACTATCCATTTATTTATTTATTTGTTTATTTTTGTCATCCTTCCTGACCAGTCTAACCTTTTGCTTGCTAGTTTTATGTACTTGTGCCAACCCAATATATACACATATAGGTTTTCCCTAGGAAAGTCTCAAGAAAATGTGTTTTTTATCAGTCACATCCCTTCACTTTGTATTAAAAACATGTTTTTCTTTAGTTCCCCAAATTGGGGATTAATTTACTTTCTCAGTTCCAATGCAAGTTAGAGAAACCATGGGAAAGGAGAATGACTGGTGGCTTAAGACACCCCAATCACTGAGCCATCATTGTGACTGATGGATGAGTAACTGGACTACCATCAAGGACCCAGTTCCCTGTCATTCCTGATGCATAGATAGCTGGTTGTAGTCATGCAGAGCATAGGTGACTCTCAGAGGAGACGTACAGATTGGATGGATCTCAATTTAGAGGAAAGGACAGGAGGAAACCAGAGACTAAATTTGTTAACTCTTCTGCAGGACTTTTTCCTCATTGCCAGTAGACTTTAAGCTCCATTAAGGCAGTGATATTGTGTGTGTGTGTGTGTGTGTGTGTGTGTGTGTGTGTATCCTCACAAAAAGTGACATATGTTAGTTGATCAATAAATATTTATGAAATAGAGGAATAGATTCATAAATAAGATATTTATAAAATATTTTATCTGTAGAATGCACTGTGGTCAGCTGTAGACATAAAATGCTTAGTAAGGCCTAATTCCTGCCCTAAAATATTTTTTTATTCTAGTAATTCTCTCTTTGTTTTCTGAATGTCTTATCATTCCCTTCTAGACTCTACTCAGAATGGGATTGCCAGAGTAGTCCAGCAATAAATAATTAACTGATGGAGTCAAATGGCTAATTCAAGATTACTACTTTGTCAGGAACTTGGAGACCCTTCATTGCTTGTTGATTTACTCACAGCAGAGATAAGGATATGTGAATGATGTTATCCCTCACATTTCTACAACTGTGATCCCAGCAGAACATCAGCCTTCATATATTCTTTCATTGCCCACCTCTATCATATGTTCCTCAATCTCTAAGGACAAAACTCATTAAAATGAGTGGAGGAATAGGGACACCTGGCTGGCTCAGTGGTGAAGCATGTGACTCTTGATCTCAGAGTCCTGACTTCAGTAGAGCTTACTTAAAACAATAGCAACAATAGTGAAAACAACATCTGTGAGCCAGGGAGCTGCCCCCAGGTCCGCAGTGTGTCTGCCTGCCTGCCCAGCCTCTGCTGCAGCCATGGGAGTGCAGGTGGAGACCATCTACCCCAGAGCGGATGAACCTTGCCCAAGCATGGTCAGACCTATGTGGTGTACTACCCAACGATACATGAAGATGGGAAGAAATTTTATTCTTTCCAGGATAGAAACGTTTACATTTATGGTAGGCAAGCAGGAGGTGATCTGAGGTTGGGGAAAAAAGGTTGCCCAGGTGACTGTGAGTTAGAGAGCCAAACTTTGTCCCCAAGCTACATCTATGGTGTGAAGCCACTGGGAACGCAGGCATCATCCCATCAAATGCTACTGTCCACTTTGACATGGAGCTTCTGAAACTGGAATGACAGGAATGACAGGGACTCGTCCCCATTCTTAGATGAGCCATGAAGGGATCTGATGCCCCAGAAGCACATGTGAATCCAATAGAGCTTTTCCTGACGTTCCTCTACACTCTGTATAAACATGACCCTTACTGAATATGTTTTGGCACCCAGCTTTGCTCTTTCCCTTTCTTTTCCTAAATATGTTGAAGTAAATTATATGCCATAAACATTGTTACTCATTTTATTTTTTTGGGGGGGGGTGAATGTTCAGTTTCAGTCTTTTGGATCGACGTTTCCACTTATGTATTAGTCAAATATTAGCAGCACAAGTAATGGGTTAACTTTAGAATAATAATTGGTGTGTTTGTGAGTGGAGAGAGAATGCAAGAATCTTTATTTTATTATTTTGGATAAAATTTGTATCCGTCATATGTTAAATATACTTGCTGCTGCACTGCAAAGCCATAGCAAATTTGAGGTGCTGTTGAGGCCACAATTACTCTCCAAGTTGAGACGTGTCCTTGGGTCAAATTAAAAGTCCTACCGAAAACTGAAGCGGAAAGTGGGAGAGCCATGCCTCCAATGTCTCACACCAGACTCTCCTTAAACTCTCTGCCTTTTATTTTTCGTTTTTGTTTTTGTTTCTGTGTGTGTTTTTCAATATAATTTATTGTCAAGTTGGCTTACATATAGCACCCAGTGCTCATCCCAACAAGTGACTTCCTCAATGCCCATCACCCATTGTCCCCTCTTCTCCACCCCCGCCCCATCAACACTCAGTTTGTTCTTGGTATTCAAGAGTCTCTTGTGGTTTGCCTCCATCCCTCTCTGTTTGTAACTATCTTCCACCTTCCTTTCCCCCATGGTCTTCTGTTAAGTTTCTCAAGATCCACATATAAGTGAAAACATGCGATATCTGTCCTTCTCTGACTGACTTATTTCACTCAGCATAATACCTCCCAGTTCCATCTATGTTGCTGCAAATGGCATGATTTCATTCTTTCTCATTGCAATGTAATATTACATTGTATATATAAACCACATCTTCTTTATCCATTCATCAGTTGATAGGCATTTAGCCTCTTTCCATAATTTGGCTATTGTTGAAAGTGCTGCTATAAATATTGGGGTGCATATGCCCCTATGTATTAGCACTCCTGTATGTATCCCTTGGGTAAATTCCTAGTAGTGCTATTGCTGAGTCATAAGCAGATTATTCTCACTGAGTTGCTGGACACTATCGGTATCTGTGCCCAGCCCGGGAGGGACCTCCAAAGCCTTCTTTGTGGCTTATTACTATTTTTTTCCATCCTGTAGTTTCTCTAATGGATATTCTGGACTTTTGTAATTTCATAGCTATCCAAGCTCTACTTTTCCAATTTTAAGAACTTTACTCAAAAGTTTAAACTGAAGGGATGTCTGGGTGGCTCAGCTGGTTGGATGTCTGACTCTTGATTTTGGCTCAGGTTATCACGGTTCAATCAATCTCATGATTGAGCCCTATGTCAGGCTCTGTATTGATAGCATGGAACCTGCTTGGGATTCTCTCTCCCCTTCTCTCTTTGCCCCTCCCCCCTCAAAATAAACATTTTTAAACAATTTTTTAACATTCTTATTTATTTTTGAGAGATAGTGTGCTAGTGGGAGAACGGCAGAGAGAGAGGGAGACAGAGAATACAAAGCAGGCTCCAGGCTCCAGGCTGTCAGCACAGAGCCTGACACGGGGCTCAAACCCACAAACTATGAGACTATGATCTGAACTGAAGTTGGACGCTTAACCGATTGAGCCGCCCAGGCAACCCAATAAACATATATATTTTTTTAAGTTTAAGTTGATGGGGCCCCTGGGCGGCTCAGTTAGTAGGTGTCTGACTTCAGCTGAGGTCATGATCTCACAGTCTGTCTGTGGAGTGGGCCTCCCAAAAAACAAACAAACAAACAAATAAACATTAAAAAAATTTTAAGTTTAAATTGAAGGTGTTGCTTATAGTCACTCATTGAAAGTCCAGACACTGCATTTCTCCAAAAATAATGTGAGAGGAAACTCCCCCAGGTATTCTGTAGTTGTCCCATTTCTCTTCTGCCTCTCTCTTTGAAAGGAGGTGAAAATATACCTAGTGAAGCTGACCTCCTCTCCACACAGAGACAACTTTCTTTCTTTCTTTTTTTAAATGTTTACTTATTTTTGAGAGAGAGAGACAGAGTGTGAGTGGGGGAGGAGCAGAGAGAGTATCTGAAGCAGGATTCAGGCTCTGAGTCGTCTGCACAGAGCTCCACGCAGGGCTTGAAGTCAAGAACTGTGCGATCATGACCTGAGCTGATGTCGGGTACTTAACCAACTGAGCTACCCAGGCACCCTGGGACAGCTTTCTTTGAGAACATACTTATAAGAAGCTTGAGCAGAGGCAGCAGAAGTGCTGACATTTCACCTCTTATGGAGGTAATAGAGAATTGGCTTCTTGGGGGACATCCATATCAGTCCTTAAATGAGTCTTTGGAGAAGACTCAGGATAATTTTCAGTATAATCTGAAGCTGAGCAGACGGTCACAGATGTTCCAGCACCCTGAAGGCTTAAATAAGGACAGACAGCCCCAGAGAAGGTGATTCCAGTAAAGGAATAGATGTGGGACCCATCAACCATGTTGTAAAAGGACACATCCCCATCCTCACAGTCCAGGAAAACTCCTATCCTTTGAGGACGTTGCCTCAGTGACAAAGACTCTATTGGGGAGGTGAGAACTCCTTTGTTGTATGTTATCACCCAGAAGCCCTTCTCTGGACTTTCTACAAACCACCCATCTCTATTTACTGTATTTGAGCAAACACCCACAGCCCATCGAGTTTCAGGTCCAACTTCTGTACCTATATTGACTTCTATCTCCCAGTAATGTCTCCCTGTGGTAAAGCAATTCTGGCCCAGAACACTGAAGATGGTTTCGGATTCCCCTTGTCCTTGGTATACTGAGGCATCACAATTCTCAGGAGTATTTTCCATTAAAGAAACTTGTTTTCTATTCTCAGATAGGATGAGGTTGGGATGAGCTTTGTTTGGATCCAGAATAACAGCAACTGCAGATGAAGAGGGGAAAAATAGGTCATTCCACAGTGGATACTGGTTGGTCTTAGGAAAGATGCAAATAGAAGGAAAAAATAATGAAGGAAAATAAGAGGTAGAGCCACAGAAGAAGAGGTAAAACAATTTATGCTCTATCTTGTGTCCATCGATAGAAGATGTGTGTGTATATCATAGAAAGCCAGCGCTGGATGACCTTCAGTAACCATTTGTTTCAGATGGGCTGAGACCATGTAGCCAAGAGGACTGTCTGTCTAATCTGAAGATCCCCAGATTCAGGTACTTCAGGATGGAGTCCCTCCATCTTCCCTCAAATGTCTGTCACTTTAATGCTTGCTCTTAATAATTAGGCCCTGTCATATTCCAATCACAGTGTATCCACTTTCATTTAAGCTTCTTTGGAATCATTTTTATTTCGTATCATTTATTATGTAATAATTAAGTCACTCACTTTTCATGCACTCTTATTAAATTTCTAAGGGTTGAAATCCTAAGCTTTATAGTCAGAAAGATCTGAATTTTGATAATCACTCTGTCTTTAGTAAGTGCGATCTTGAAATTACTTTGTTTCTCTCAGCTTCACTTTATCCTCATAATGATGGACACAATTATGATACCTCCGCATAGAACTATTGTGAGAAATAAACAAGACTATGTGTAGAGAAATAAGAACTAGGTCTTGCCCATGATGAACATTTGGTAAATTTTTTAGCTTCCAATAGTTACAGCAACACTAATAGCAGTAGTAATAGCAGCAATAGTACTAATACCAGCAGTAATTAATCTGTTTCTTCTCAAATCAAATATCTTCAATACTTAGAATTTTTCTCATAAGAATTTTATGTGGGAATACCAGAATGTGCTTTAATTTTTGGATGATTAAATTAACTAGGAAACATTTGTAGATGCAGGGATATTTAGAGTAAAGCAACATGTACTAGAAACTGATAATCAGCTAATAATTTTGGAAAGACTCTAAGATGGTTTTCCACTTACACTGAAATACAACCAGCTATTTCCTGTCTCAGGCCGGTGTAATAGACTTTCTTCTCACTGAACTTCTCTTGCAATGTTATTCACATGAGTAAATCCACTATATCACTTAGTCCTAGATTAAAATTTAGTTCCTCGGGGAAATTCCTTTATCCACCAAGGTTTTCTCATGGAAACCTCTTATTCTTTTATAACTTTCATTACAACTTGTACATGCACTTTTCCATGAAATCAGAGGTCAGATACGCTTTATTTATTTGGTCCTGAATAAAGGGTTCTACAAATTAATGCTTAATGCATGAATGATAGCAGAAAAGTAAGAAATCTGCTCCTTTTTCAACATGAGATTGAGATTGAACTGAAAGCCATGAAATTAAAAGCCAACAAGGTTTTATTGAGAATTTATATAAATGCAAGGGTTTCTCATTTGTATAGAAAAGATTGTGTAGGCCAAAATAATAAGGTCACTCACCTGCTTCGAATTGTTCTTTTCTCCAGTCTAAAAAGAAAAAAAACTCATATGGGAAAATACATCAAGAACGTATCTTCTCAACTAGTGGGATGCTTTATTTACCCTTAGCCCCTGTATTTTTTCTGGACTCCCATATTCAAAATCAGTTTTCCAGAATATAGCATATCTTTGAAAAATTCCCTGGAAATGCCTCATGAAATCCTGGGGTGCCTGAAGTCCTAAGACTTCTGTTACTCACCAGCATATAACTTTGCTTTTCTCCAGTCTGAAATAAAACAAAAGAATTAGATTTTCTCATCCATAGGACCTTCATTCCAGAGAATTAAATTGCCACAACCACATGAGATATGAAAATTTACAATAGTGCTATATTTCTGTATTCATCACCTCAATGACAGTTTTCTGGGGTATTTGTCTTCCTTAATCTTCTGTTCTATTTCTCACATTTTCCACATTCCCCTAACATATCTGTGATAGAATAGGAGGTTCTGATTCTTTTGGGAGAAGATAAACTTGAATTGTGAGAGTGTATTGTAAAGCCTAAAACTTCATGTGCTGTTTTGACATCTTTGGACCTCACAGAGCTCTAAATGCCTATAAGCTCCTCTGCTTTCATCACATATGCCTCCATCTAGCAGAAAAATCTCCACGTTGAACTACTTTTCCTATCAGTCAAGCCAGTTGAACCTCACCTGGTCCTCAACCTAATGGCCTTCCTTCACCTTCCTATCAGCCTAAAAAGTTACTCAGACAAGCCAATCATATACTTCCATGGAGACCAGTAACACTTCATCTTGTTGTTACTAAAAAGCCTGCTTCCCTCAGCCCCTGACGGTTCACTCTGTTCCCAATTGCAACCCCTATGTGGTCCTGCATGACTTGTGGTGTCCTCCTCCCCCAGGGTGTGAGTATAGGTGATTAATAAACTGCTGTTAAGCTCATATGTCCAGTGTTGGGTGTCATGTGTCTAACCATTTTATCCAAATTAGGATTGGGGTTCTCTTCCTCACTAGCAAGGTGAATAGGAGATGATCAGAACAGAGAGACATATGAAATGACTAGTCCAACCACAACACTTATATAACTTACTTTGTTGATATAATTGCTTTCTTCTTGCTGAAAAGGAATAACAGCTTGTGAGATGCAAAGTACACAGCATGGAGTAAGGGCATTATTTCTTCTACTTGAGCAAAGAAAAATGGAAAACTTACCAAGCTCTTTCTCAAGCAATTCTAAAAAGGAAAGAAAATAACAAAACATTTTATAGAAAAAAAGTCCAGACTATGTTTCCTAAACTCAGATCCTGAACACAACTTCCATATACCTAGATCAAGAAATTCACCTTAATTGAGAATTACTGTGATCATTTTTCTAACTCCATGTTTATATCCACGAATTTTCTCTCTCCATTGAGCTTTCTTATAATATTTTTCTCATGAAGATCTTAGGCTCCATGTCTTACTGGAGGTCTTGAGACTCAAACTAAGTACGCTCCAGTGTCTATGTTCCAACAGATGCTATCCATATAGATTGCTAACAAGCACATAAATTCACATATCCCACCAGGTCTGGTTCACAGTTTTACCTTTGGTTTTACTTTCTTTCTCTTTTTCTGTCAGGGCTTCCCATTGTCTCCTCTTTTCCTGTCGTTCTTTCCAGGCCCAAAACACAGCAGCACCCAGAAATATCCCAAGTATGAGAAAAGTCCCAGCAAATGCTGTCATCCAAGGAGAGGTCCTAGGGAAAAAGGATTCTGATACAGAGGTCCCAAAGACCTGATTAAAAACATATCCCAAGCAATCTTATTCGATCCTAGTTCCTAAATATCCCCTCTTTAACCCTATCCTGTCCCCCAAATGAGCAACACTGACCTGGGATAGAAATGGTTTCCACCTGCTCTTGTCCAAAGAAGGGGTTCTTCATGTAGCAGGACACTTCTCTCTTTGAACTGTCTCTTACAATGAGGGATGCTTCTATTTGAAACAATCCATCATCATCTTGGGTCTCAACTTCAGAGAGAGATGATATCTTCTCTCCCGTTGCATCTTTCCATTGCACCTCAGGCTGGGGAAACCACCCTTTGCCTGTACATGTCAGTCTTATTCCTGTATCTTCTGGACCCACTATGAAAACACGAGGACCAGAACCCAGACCTAGAGAAGAGATAGTCATTGATTTGAGACCTGGACATCTTTGATCCAGGAGTCCCTAATTTATACAGTAACACCAGTGTGGGGATATGGACAAAACACCATCATTCTTGGTGGAAGGAGAGGGTTTATTTACTTCTCTTATGAGATAAATGGGTAATTGTAGTCAAATCTCAAGAGACTTGAAAATGATACTAGGACTTCATACTGATGTCTATCACATTTTCTCTACCCAGTCATATTTGCAATTGGCCATAGAAGGAAAAAAAACAGAGTAAATTTTATGAATGTTAAATTCTTTCATGAAAACACCAATATACCTGATCTATCCATTCCACTTACTGAAGTCTCTAGGACAACTACCTTTCTGTGATTAAATTGAGTCTTGTAGCCACTTCTTAAACAATCTCATTCTGTAAGATTTTCCAAATTTTCTTTCTTCCTCTGAGTAGAGAATATCTAAAAGATGGAGTTAGCCAGCTAAAATGATTACATGAAGGAGTCAATATATTTTTTACTTTTCCACTCTCATTTATTTCTTTCCCCTCCACCACTTCTCCTGGATCTACTAATGGATCCAGGTCACCAGCACCCATATTAAAACATTACACTACTAGAATGCTAGAAGAATCCACTGTCTCTTTGAGAATAATGGCTACCCTGGCTTCTCAGACTATATATTGTTTCTTCCTTTTATTTTTTTTTTAATATTTTTATTTATTTCTAGGGGAGAGAGAGAGAGAGAGACAGCGTGAGCAGGGGAGGGTCAGAGAGAGAGGGAGTCACAGACTGAAACAGGCTCCAGGCTCTGAGCTGGCAGTCAGCACAGAGCCCGACGCGGGGCTCAAACCCACGAACCGCGAGATCATGACCTAAGCGAAAGTCGGATGCTTAACCGACTAAGCCACCCAGGCGCCCCTGTTTTTTCCTTTTAAAACTTATCTCACGGTATGGGTCCTCTTAGTTCTGGCTCAGTTCTACTCCAATTCCTCAGATATAGAGAATATATTATAAACCTCAGAGACATTGTCTTTTTTGGCTAAAAATTATAATGCAACTATTAATTTTTGCTTCCAGATCTTGATTTCCCTGGGAAGGACACACTTCTATAAAACAGAAAGCAACTTGAAAGAAAATCTTCAGAATTGCTTGAGGGAGCTGCCAACTCTCTTGAACAAGGGAAATGAATAGAAGTGAATAAAACTAGTCATGAGCAAACAGATTCATAACTATAGAGAATAAACTGATTGTAATGAGAGGGGAGGTGGAGTGGATAAATGAAAAAGATTAAGCAGATTAAAGAGTGTACTTATGATGAACATAAGTAATGAATGGAATTCTTGAATCACTATATTGTACACCTGAAGCTAATATAATACTGAATGTTAACTATACTGGAATTAAAATTAAAACTTAATTTAAAAAAAGGAAAGTATGGAAAGAGCTCAAATGTCCACCAACTGATGAATGGATAAAGAATAAGTGTTGTGTGTGTGTGTGTGTGTGTGTGTGTGTGTTTATACACACAATGGAATACTACTTGGTGATCATAAAGAATGAAATCTTGCCATTTGAAACAATGTGGATAGAACTATACAGTGTATTATGCTAAATGAAACAAGTCCTTCAGAGAAAGACAAATGTATGATTTCACTCATGTGGAACTTAAGAAACAGATGAACATAGGGAAGGAAAGGAAAAATAAGATAAAAGCAGAGAAGGAGGCAAACCATAAGAGGTTCTTAAATACAGAGAATAAACTGAGGGTTACTAGAGGGGAAATGGGTGGGGAGATGAGCTAAATGGGTGATGGCATTAAGGAGGGGATTTGTTGGGATGATCACTGGGTGTCATATGTAAGTGATGAATCACTGGGTTCTACTCTTGAAACCAATACTACAATGTATGTTAACTAACTTGAATTTAAATAAATATGTTTTTAAAATTTTTAAAAAGAATGTTAAGAAGAAATAGAAAAAATATCAAAGAGAAAAAAAAGAAACTGGTCATGGGCAAAATGCAGCAGGTCAAAGCCTAGGAAGCAAATACTAATAGACAAAATAGACCTGTACTTTCTGGAAGAATAGAACCATTGAAGTTCCAAGTTGAAACAAGCAAAAACTACCTGTGTTGAGAAAGAAGAATAGGAAGGGATGCTCATTCCGGAGTATAGAAGCAGCTGTACTAGGCAAAGTTTAAGTGAATGGAAGATAAATGTAGATCTATAATCAACCAACTGCTTCTAAAGGTTGTACTTGTCTTTATAACCATCACTCAATAAACTGATATGGGAAAGGTACTGAAAAATGGCATGATTTCTATAAGATTATATCTGGACCTGTGAAAAACCTTGACTTCCTACTTAGAGGATAATAGAGTGGGATAACAGTAACATGACTCAGGAGAGTTTGTCACTATTTCCTTCAAGACCTAATGTATATGGATTTGTCTTATTAAAGTTATACATAAAGAAGATGGATAAAATAAGCTTATAGATATTGTGTCAGACAAAATCAAATGAGAACTATTAATTGCAGATGGGCCTAATACACTAAAAAATGAAGAAAAACATTAAAGTTAAGAAGTTTGTCTTGTCAAGGAATAATGTTAGAGATGGAAATTCTATTATATATTCAAAGAAGTGGACAGATAAATCATTAAGAACACATAGAGAGTTTATAATTTGCCTGGATATCTGTGAGTTTACGGAAAATATGCATTTGTAAATTAGTACAGATTTTCTATACTATTTGCTAACGGTTCAGAGATAGGAACAAATATTTGAGCATACTACAAACTTTAATACCAAAAATATTTAATTTTTAATGTTTATTTATTTACTTTGAGAGAGAGAGTGAGCACATGTGTGAACATTAGCAGGAGAGGAGCAGAGAGAGAGGGAGAAAGAGAAAATCCCCAAGAAAGTTCTACGCTGCACAGGACCCAACGTGAAGTTCAAACTCATGAACCAAGAGATTATGAACTGAGTTCAAATCAAGGATCAGATGCTTAACCAACTGAGCTATCCAGGTACCTCCCAAATAATATTTATATAGATTAAAGACCTAAATGTAAAAAGCAAAACAATGAAAGACATATAGAAATGAACTATAACTACATGTAAGTAACCACATAGAAAAATCACAAACATAACAGTGAGCAAAATATAAAGCCAGACATAAAAGAGCCCATGTATGTGAAATTCAAAAACAGACAACAACTAATCAATGAGGTTAGAAATCAGAATAGTGATTACTCTTGAAATCATAACTTAAAAGGGAAAAACAGATTTTCCTGCATCCTAATTAAGCCCTGTATCTTGATTTGAGTGCTGATTTCTCAGGTGTATTCACTTTATAAATATCCATTAAACTGTATATTTAAAATAATTAGTGGGGTTCCTGGGTGGCTCAGTCAGTTAGGTGTCCAACTCTTGATTTCATCTCAAGTCCTGATCTCACAGTCATGAGATTAAGCCCCACACTGGGCTCTGCACTGAAAATTGAGTCTGCTTGTGATTCTCTCTCTCCCTCTCTCTCTGCTCCTCTTGGACTTACAGAATCTCTATTAAAAATGAATAAATTAACACTTTTTAAAAAATAAAAACATAGGGGCACCTGGGTGGCTCAGTTGGCTAAGTGTCCAACTTCAGCTCAGGTCATGATCTCACCATCTGTGGGTTAAGCTCTGCATTGGGCTCTGGGCTGACAGCTCAGAGCCTGTACCCTGCTTCAGATTCTATGTCTCCCTCTCTCTCTACCCCTCCTCAGCTCACACTCTGTGTGTATCTCTCTCAAAAGTAAATAAACATTAAGCATTTTTTAATTAAAAATTAAAATCAGTAATAAATTCTCTGTATATGCTATATTTCAATTTTTTATAGAAGAGATATGAGAAAGGAAGGTAAAATATTTTTGTGATGTTTGTACACAGGTGTACATCTAAGAGCACTAAAAATCTAAAATGACATAAAAGATAATGTTGACAGTTGAGATTATATAATATTTCTTTCCTTTTTAGTTTATTTTTCCTTATAAACAATTGTTATATTTATTTTTTATTTTTTATTTTTTTGAATTTTTTATTATTTTTTAATTTTTTAAAAAATAGTTTATATCAAGTTGGTTTC